GGAAGCAACTTACCCTCCCTCTTCTCCTGCCTCCTCGGGGCTGAATGAGGGCCGGAAGCGGGGCGGCCAGAAGCAGGGGGCGGGGCTTCGTCGTGTGCCCCGCCCCCCGCACCTCACCCGGGGGAACGGCGATCCCCCACGACCCCCTCCCCCAATCGACCTCTGCGCCTAATACAGTCCAAAGGTGTTAACTTACAACTGGCAGAAATAACCTAAGGCCAATTTGGTGTAGTGGTTAAGAGTGTGGACTCTAACCTGGGAGAACCAGGCTTGATTCCTCACTCCTCCACATGCAGCTGTTGGTATGACCTTGGGTCAGTCATAGATTCTGTCAGAGCTGTTCTCTCAAGAGCAGTCCTAGAGAGAGCTCTCTCAGCCCCACAGGGTGTCTGTTGTGGGGAGGGGGAGGGAAAGGAGATTGTAAGCCGCTTTGAGACTCCTTCAGGTAGTGAAGGGTGGGGTATAAATCCAATCTGTTCTTCTTCCCTTCACACAATATAAAGCTTGACCATGTCGTTGTACCCTGTCCAAACTCTAGCAGCCTGTCCTGTCTCAGAGCCTCCTCTCTTCTACAGCCAGAGGGAGGAGGAGATGCTTTTCTCCCCCTTCTCAGAGCCTACCAAAGGGGACCTTTTGCCAGGTGGAGCCATTTAGTGTGCTGGATGTCTCCCCGTGTCCTCAATTCAAACGGCCTGCTTTTCAGTGTCCTTGCTGGTTTTCTTTTCCACCTACCTATTCTACTTTTTTATCCCACTCTTCTTCCAAGGAAGACAGGCTTGGATCCTGTGTGCACGTTCTGCGCGCCCGTCTCTGTGGACGCAGAGGAGGACAGCCTGTGTTGTGCAGCAGGCTTTCTCTACCATTGTACTTCTGCCTGCATGAGATCAATAGTTCCCAGTGAGCCCTGGCACAAGAGCAATGCTGGCAGCAGAGGAAGTGCATCCTCCCAGAAGGCAGGATCTGTTGCAGCCAGAGAGAACCATGCATGGAATGCAGGCACAGCCTCCAAGCCACAGCTCTTCCCTCTTCCACTGTATCCTTCCAACAACCCTGCAAGGTAGGTTAGGCTGAGGGTGCATGACAGACCCCAAGTCAGGCACTGAGCTTTACAGCAGTGTGCAGATTTGGACCTGGATCATCCCAGTTCCATTTACTGGTGAATGATGATGCTAGTTTTACTGCTGTTTTCAAGTTTTCAATGATAATCTTTATTATTTATAAAGCAAGTGATACCTTCCTGTCCTCTTCAATGGGGACTCAAAGCATTTGCAGCATTAGTCTCCTCTCCTCCGTTTATCCTCACAACAGCCACCCTATGAGGTAGGACAGGACGAGAGAGGGTGACTGGACCAAGATTACCCGGCGAGCTTCTATGGCAGAATGAAGATCTGAACCCAAGTCTCCCGGATGCTAGCTGAACACTCTAACACCTACACCACACAGCCTAAGGCCTTGTCTTTAAAATCCCAGTCCAACTGTCTAATTAAGAGGTCCCAACAGCTGTAGCGCACTCATATTTTTCATTCTAAGGTAAACTTTCATATGCAAAATTCCAGTGGAAAATTGGAATTGGGGGTGGCTTTTCTAATCGTTCTCTGAATATCCACTGGGCCTCACTCCACCTTTCAGTGTTACTCAGCTTTAATGGGAGGTCTCATTCACTGCATGGAGAACGGATTTCGGCTTCTGTATACACAAGGGGAGAGAGGGAAGCAGTAGAGGGTTTTTGTCTCACTTCCCCATCTGAATGCACGGCTGTGTCTCGCACTCCCAGTCCACACACAACAGAAATAATCAGCTTCATCTTCTGTCAGGGCCCCCGAGATTGTCAGGGACATAGTGTTCCTGGACCTCGACCCACTGAAACGGTCCGGGATGCCAGGTACTCTGGTGCTGGTGCTGTGTATGATATTTCGTGGAGCATTCCCCTGTCTCTGCTGGGCCCACCAAGGGTAGTTGCCATCAGAGATGGTTCCGCTGCTAAAGGTGCAAGACACGGTGACGGTCCCTCCTAGAGACACAGTTTCTGAAGGCTTCAGGGACTGCAGTTGCTGGAAACTTGGTCCTGAAAGAAAGCAAAGGGAGATCTGTTAATTTCACAAGGCAACAATGTCAAACATTGGAACAGCCGGCAGTTGAGAAGGTGAAATACTTCTAGGTATCCTTCAAGTATCTTTTATTTCATCCTCCACAGGAATTGTTCTTACCAATGCAGGCCAGGATTGTAAGGAGAAGGAGGCTCTGACCCATTGCAGTGGAAACTGGTGAGCCAAGCAACAGGATCTCTGACTGGTAGTCTGTTAAGAGGGAACTCCCCTTCCCTCTTAAACCCCCTGAGATCAAGAGCGCACCCCCTCCATGCAAACGAGGGCTCATTAACGACTGTTCCCTGACACAGAGAACAACCAATGGGAAAGGGGCTGTACCCCAGAGGTCCAAAGGAAAGGCCACCGTTCAGTGTCATGGGTTGTTGGGTCACAACTTGGAGATCCCTTTTTTACTTGGAAATCTGTTGTTGAATTGGGAGACGAGATCACTGTGTCTTCTCCCACCTTCTTCTCCTCTCCTCCGGTTACCCATTCC